GCTGCTCATATTCGAACTACAGTATGCCTTTTAAACATGTATTGTATACCTGTGGTGTTTATTTTATTATCTTTGCTTTGTAATGCCTGTTGTAAAATGCCATTATATAATGTGTTTTTACTGTATTTATTCATAACAAGTCTTTTCATTTGTTTTGTAAAGCACTTTGAATTGTCGCGTACAGAAAAGTGCTATATAAATAAACTTGCCTTGCCTAGCTGTGCTTTGAAATATAAAATAAAATAGATCAATAACTCTATTTTGATAAAGCAACATTATTGTAGATTTGATTATTGATGTAAACACGTTCAAATAGTTTCAGCAGGAAGTGGCTAACCCTTACGCAATATTAAGACATCCAAAAGATGTCGTCATTTCGTTAACGCCAGAATGCTGACATGCCCACAGAAAATGTGCCCAAAATGTGAAGCAAATAAACGAAATAATAGCAATCAAATGTTTATGCTTAGCTGAGATGAACACGCTCATGTATTCCATTGAAATAAATGCAATGATGAACAATTTAAACTAATAAATAATGACGTACATGAAGCATGTCTTTTATACTTCTACCAAAGCTTCCCTTTTCTAAAGAGACTCAAAATATTCCAGAAATTAATACATGAGGGAAACACACATGACATATTTGTGTTTTCCACTCTTGTTTTGTTGAAGAACAGCGACCACAACAACGTGTTTATATCGTGTTATGGATCTAAATGACCTCACAATCTACTATGAAGTCTGAAAACAGCTTGTGCAGCACCTCCCTACTTCACACACACACACACACACACACACACTGTACAAACACACACCTACTGTACAAACACACACACACACCTACTGTACAAACACACACACACACACACACACACACACACACACACACACTGTACAAACACACACACAAACTGTACAAACTGTACAAACTGTACAAACTGTACAAACACACACACACACACACACACACACACACACACACACACACACACACACACACACACACACACACACACACACACAAAAGAGTACTACAGCAGTTGGCCGCTGAGCAACAAAGGGAGGAAGTGTAGGTGGCGCCAAGAGTCAATTCAATTTCTATCAATTTCGGAATCTAATCAAGCTCCACCTCTCCCCCCTACCCCCAATGGACCTGGATGTTAACACCCCCCCGACACACACACACACACACACACACACACTTACACACATACAGCACCAAACACTTTTTTCTACTAGCTGCTACAGACAGTTATTGCACTACTTGTATATATTTGTACTGTTGTCATATACTCCTCTGTTTCAATCTACCACACTGCTATTTTCATATGTGTATTATTGTGCCTTGATTTGAATCCTGTATTTGTATTTTGTGTATGTATGTACAGTATATATACATATGTACATCATTGTATATAGTGTAATCTTTGGGACGGTGGCAAACAGCATTGTCTCCTTGTCTGTACCACACACACACAGAGTTATTGATAGAGGCTTGTGTGCTGCAGGATGGCCTACATTCAGCTAAAGTTCAAAGATCAAGTGTATTGAAAATATCTAATAGTAATTAAATGTGTGTGGCAGATACGCTGTGTGTCACTGTGCCAGCTCTAAAGATTACAGCGTCCAGATGTGCAGAGCTGATGTGCGATGGGTAAATCTGAGCTCAGGTACACAGCCCTAAAAAAAAAAAGGGGGATTTCACACAGGGTATTTATTGACCATATGGTCAAAATAAAAACTCCAGCAGTGTGTGTGTGTGTGTGCATAGATCAAAAACATGTGACCAAAAAGAAATACTCTGGATTCAAAAATATAAGTTTGTTAGCTTAGTACATGTGAATCCACAGGAATAGTTTGCATACATTTCAGACTCCTCTTGAAGCTGAAGTTCAGAGGCTTGCTGGCTTTTAATAACTTCCAATCAGGGACCTCTTGAAAGAAGAGCCAATGAGAGCAGAGACAGACTGCCAACAGTTTAGGAGAGAGAAAAGGCTACAGCCGAGAGAACTAGGATAATGAAATACAGAAGATAAGAATGCTCATTTGAGCCTGTGTGTGTTTCCCCCCGCTCTTATCTGTGCATAGTTTGTGCAGCGGCGACATCCTCAGTGAGTGTGTCGCTCAAAACCGAGCGAGATAACACCGTCAAAAACTCTGCTTCAACAGACCCACGCACACATGTGTAATCGTGTTTCTATGTGTGTATCCATCGGCACCAAAGCACAGCAGAGCAGATGTAGCTAAGCAAACCCACCCGCTGCTGCCGACACATGCAATAACACTGAGGGAGACGTTCAATTCTTCAGTTCAACGCCTACACACACACATCCTGATATCTCAAATGTAAAACAAATACAGCTTCCAAATACTGCCTCACTAATACCTCAAACCTTTTTTTTCAACACACTGAGCTTCTTATTTTCTGTTTTTCTGGGAGGATATGAGAAGCTGGTGTCTCTCTCTCGCTCTCCTGCTTGTGAGGTGATACAAAGAGGGAGCTGGGGCTCTGCTCGGGAAACCATTTTAAATCCCTGTGGCATTCTGTGCCCTTAACTCTGACCTGGATTAATTGAAACTGTGGGAATAAAGCCTGTGTCTTCAGACTCCACACAAAAAACACATTCATTTTCCTTGTTAACCCTCTCATTTCCATTCTTTGTATTTTACATACAACCAAAATCAAATGTAGCAAATGGCTGTTTTCACTGTCTGTTGTTCTACATATTTTGTCTAAAATGTGTGATTTGTTTTTGTGCCAGACTCTTAATCTCTAACATACGAGATCCATAATGCACTTTAATACAGGGGTATCTTCTCTTGCACTTTATGTATCGATGCTGCTATATTGTATTACCATGTCCGAAATACTTGGGTATTCTACTCTTACTCTTGCACTTTTCTTGCATTTTATGTATTTGTACTGCTATGTTTGTAATTTTCATTTTCTTAATTTTTTAAGTGAGGGACTGCAGATGGAAAGTAGCTCAAAGCTAAATCTGGCATATTTACACTTGGCACATTTCATGTTTTAAGTGTTCATTAATGTGCAATGTCCCTGCCAACTAAACGAATACAGAAATAATCTAATAGATATCAGAGGCCTGTACTACGAAGCCGGATTTTCGCTTAGCCGGCTGACTTCAGGGAAAACTCGGGCTTTCCGGTCCGACGACGCTGGTTCTCTTTTTAGCGGGCTAGATCTCCATGGTAACTTATGCTGAGCGGCTAAACCTCCTCGGGAGGAGGTTAGGTTGCAGGCTAAGAGATCAACTCAATGAAAGCACCGCCTGCTGACCAATCAGAGCTCCGTGTGCGGAGTTTAAAGCGATCCAGTCATATTACAGGATAGAGGAAATACAGAAAAACTGCCGTTGCAGGAAAGACGGCCGGCAAAAATCAACTGACTGTGTGAACGTGAAAATTAATAGAATATCCCCTCCCATCTTCAGAGCAATCTGACTATTATAACATTAGCGTTAAGAAAGCTTACTTAAATATCTGCCACGACATAAGTAACCGGATCAGAGTAACATTAAGTACAGTCCGCGGCACTGTGAGTGCAGACGTCGATGTGTCCCATTATCATTCATATCATATCACATCATAATGTATCATATATTTCCTTATTTGAGTCAGCTTCTTGAGCCGTATCTGGCCGTGCAACACTCACAGTGTCACATACTGTATGCAGAAGTATTATTTTAAGCAACACATTAAGTTGACGAAACACTCGAGTCAAATGTGATTAAAGTCAGATCGTGTCTTATACGGGGCAGTGATTTCATAAACCTGTTAATGTACGCATTCAAACACTTTTTCTTTTACCAGCTGTATTCACCTTGCAGGTGCAGCTATGTGGCTGTTATCCTGGGTAAAGTGTTTAAGTCATGGATGTTTAAAGTTTAACGTCTTCATATTTGACTAATATTAAAGTTCACTTTTCATTCAGGAAGTATGACGCTGCGCTGTCAGTACGCTTGTCCGTGTTTGTGATTGGTCGAATGCTCCAAATACCACCCCTTTCATGTGAACGCACACCTAACTAGATAGGACACGGCTGGCTTGAGCGATCCACTTGATAACCAGCGTCGTAGTACAGCTTAGCGAGAGCGCGTATGTTTTGGATTGGGCCAACCGGCTAACTCAAACATATCCAGGTTAGGTTGAACCAGCTTCGTAGTACAGGCCTCTGATCTAATATCATTAAAGAGCGTATGATAACATGCGTACGGTCAATGTTGATCCAATGCAATGGAAAGTCCTAAAAAGTGTAAGAAATGAAAACAAAATATTTCAAGAATATTCTTCCGCTCAGCAGAGATGCAACAAATGAAAGCTTTGCTTCCCTAAAGGACTCATCCTCGAATGAACACATGAAGCCAACATATGTCATGTGTGTTTTCTACTTTTATAACAATGTCAGCCACCACAACAACTTGCACATATTATGTCAACATTTTATCATTATTTGTAGTTTGTAAAAAATGTTATACCAATAGATTTAGGATGCCTTTTATCCCATGGTACCCAACTGCCTCCAGTGCATGTATACTAGAAAACTGTGCCCCGGTGAAAAAGACTGATCAATGAAAGGCAATTCTGGCTTAAAGACAAAACAGTATCAACTAGTTTCCGACAAGTCTCGAGTGTAGGAGCCAATCCTGTTTATTGTTGATAAGTCCTATTATTTCATTTCGCTATATTGTGCATTGTTATTCTGGAGAGTTGGTGGGGGTGATGAGATGCACACGGTGTATACATGAGGTCATAGGTGACAGGAAAGGGAGTAAACACCCGACAGAACAACACTTTCTTGCAGAACTGGAAAAGCTGGCAAAGTAACAAATGTAATGATCTGATAACGAACATGTCCGACTGGTAAATCTTCTGTATTGTGTCTTCTTACTAACTACCTGTGTGTGGACGGCAACAGGAAGAGATGACCTTGAGAAGCAACATATTTGCCATTACATAGAGTTGTGTTCAGTGTGTACCTGCTGGTGGACAGGGTGCAGTCGATGGCGGGACGTTTGGTTTTGGGGATGTAGTAGAGAGGGTAACGGTCACCATGGCGAATCATCACCTGGACCGACAGCAGCTTGTAGTCGGCGGGACTGTGACCTGTGGAGAAAACTCGCATCAGCATACACACTTTCCCAAGAAGAATAAGGAACTGTCATTGTAGTATCAGTGACAGATTCACCATAGCTTATATGGTTGGTTTTTGTTCTAAATGAATAGACATCAAGGTAGATTGTGCTGGTTTTAATAGGAACACATGTAGACTTGAATAAGAAAGAAAATAACGTATCCAGCTTCTTCCCTTAGAGATATAATAGATAAAGAGCGTACAATGAAATATTTGAGTGTCTTTCAGCTCATTGTTTTGGTTTTAAGACCCGCATCATTTTGAGATGCAGCAGGCAAATATTTTTCGGTGTTAAAGGTCACCTATCAGGCTATTTTTAGGCAATAGCATAGGTCTCAGATATATAAAACATATATAAAAAACATGTCTATGAAGTGTTTTGCTCAAAATACCAAACAGATCACCCATTCTAGCCATGCCTCATATCCCTCTATTTCACTTCCTGTTTCAAAAGTGCTGATTTGGGGAATAAAGCTTTAAAATAAAAATAAATTGATACAAAAAAAGGAGGGGGCTGAGCTCATGCGGGACCCGGCAGCTACCGTCTAAACTAAATACTGCCGTGATGAAACGCCATATCATGGATTATCAAGGATTATCTCTGAAACAGTATGGAGCTCAAAGGCTTTCTCTCTTGCCGGTTATACCACAAGGTGAGTTCCTTTTTATTTCCTGCTTCTTCACACACATGCTCTCCAGTACAGGTTAGCTCTGAGTGTTAGCGATGCTAATGTAAACACCGACCATATTACATCCAAAACAGTCGAGCATTGTTTCTGATAGCAACGTTTCTGATAGGGCCTTGGGTCCACATTTCAGATATTACGTCATATCGGACGCAAATCTGGATCAGCTCTGTTGTAGCCCCGTTTTTAGAGATTTGGGTACGGAGGAAAAGAGAGAGGGTTTTATTTTCTGACGCTGCGTGAGTTCCCCGACACACCGGGGACACATCTTTATGTATAAATGCATTTTGCATGATAGGTCCCCTTTAAAGCTCTCGTAAAAACACCGTACACTACCTGCCCATCACCAAACACTAGACACAGTTAAACTAGCTACATTTCAAATAATTTACACAAAAACTAAAAGTGATAAAAGGCAGATACACATCTCCAAATATATTCTAGTGTTTTTTTCATCTGCTTAATGTGCAAATATGTATATTACATAAAAAACCCAGCAGGTGTAAAGATTCACGTTAAACTTAATTCTACGCGGTCCAATCGTTCATATTGAAGGGAAAGCTGACCTCACGAGATCCAACAATGCGTGCCACGTCTTACAATCTAACGACAATAGTCTTGACACATGGAAAATAACCATTTCTAGATTGTTTCTGATTGATTTCCAATAATTGTATTATCTTAATCTCAAACACAATGGATCCGCCATGCAGAGATAAACAGAGTACACTTTAATCAGTGGCGGCTGATACAACGTGTCGTAGGCGGTGAAGATATTTGTACGATTGCCTCGGGCTGTGCTGACGGTACACTTGTAAAGAGAGGGAGAGAGAGAGAGAGAGAGAGAGAGAGAGAGAGAGAGAGAGAGAGAGAGAGAGAGAGAGAGAGAGAGAGAGAGAGAGAGAGAGAGAGAGAGCCCTGTGGCGTTATGGATGATGCAATCTAGGGGAAATGACTCTCCCACAATTAACGCATCCCCCGAGTACCTGACACACTAAATCTGACATTATTACTATATTAAGTATTTATACGCTGTCCATCAAACCGGGTGATGACAGCAAAGGGAGAACTGATCTTAATGTGTCTTTAATACGGTGTAATGGAGAGGCTATGATCATTTCTGATAACTTCGCTATATCAGACTGTAATGGATATTTTTTTCATTGTATTCATATTTTTACTGGGTAATTCACCATTTTAAAATATTCACTTACATGATTCTGTTACTTGTTGTTTTTAACCATGGTTCAGTACTAATTTGATATTATTTATTTGAAGTGTGTTTTCCTCTTTATTTCATATTTAATGAGTCTTATAATGTTTTACTTTGCCTTTAATATATAATTGTATTACTGCACATATTTTATTCCATTCAATTTCAATGTAAGTTATTATAGTTTTCTTAAAATAGTTCTCTATCTGTGTATTTTGTTTTACTTTTATGTATGTCAAAGTCAACTTTATTGTCAATCTCAAAATGTGTTTGTACACACAGAAAGATCAAAAATACGTAGTGGAGTACAGAGCTTCGTGACCGCAGAGCATGTGAACGTTGTGATCAGCTGTTTTAGCGCAGTGCTGCTGTACAGGCCGACGTTAACAGCAGAGAGGAGACCGACTCTGTCGTCCAGTGATCCAGTTATGTGCACCCCTGGCTATAAAACTGTAAATGTCCCCACTGTGAAACGTAAAATAATTGTGTTTTTTCATTATTTTCAAATCTGATAGTTAAGTCTACATCCTATCGCTGGTCTCATATCATTGCAGAGATAAGTGTTTTAGAAACTAATATCATAGACGTGCGAAAGCTCAAAATCCCACGTCCACAGATTGCAGTCGTGATTTGAACTAGACAGATGTTGATGGTCAGTGTGCAGGCCTCACCCTCCCAGGCCTGTTCGGTGCGGTTGGGGGTGTTGCAGTAGCTGTAAGCCTCAGCGATGGGGTTCGGCTCCAGGGTGTGAGGCGCCGGGAACACTCTCTTCCTGCTCTTCCCCACGGCCCCCCCAACGCCTCCATTTGCAGCCTGGAGGAGGCGCTCCTCCAGCAGGGGAGTGGTGGGGATCAGGTTCACTGGGGAAACAAGAGGAAGAAAGTTAGAATGCAAAATGTAACTAATGTGAGAAGGTGATGAAGAATGGAGGCCACTTATAAGAAGACATATTCTGCTAATTGTTAGGTTTATAATGTGTTTTTAGTGTCTCTACTTTAAAGAGTCCTCTCCTGCTGATGTTCAGCTGTATATCAGTATGTAGTGTCTCTACTTTAAAGAGTCCTCTCCTGCTGATGTTCAGGTGTATATCAGTATGTAGTGTCTCTACTTTAAAGAGTCCTCTCCTGCTGATGTTCAGGTGTATATCAGTATGTAGTGTCTCTACTTTAAAGAGTCCTCTCCTGCTGATGTTCAGGTGTATATCAGTATGTAGTGTCTCTACTTTAAAGAGTCCTCTCCTGCTGATGTTCAGGTGTATATCAGTATGTAGTGTCTCTACTTTAAAAAGTTCTCTCCTGCTGATGTTCAGGTGTATATCAGTATGTAGTGTCTCTACTTTAAAGAGTCCTCTCCTGCTGATGTTCAGCTGTATATCAGTATGTAGTGTCTCTACTTTAAAGAGTCCTCTCCTGCTGATGTTCAGGTGTATATCAGTATGTAGTGTCTCTACTTTAAAGAGTCCTCTCCTGCTGATGTTCAGGTGTATATCAGTATGTAGTGTCTCTACTTTAAAGAGTCCTCTCCTGCTGATGTTCAGGTGTATATCAGTATGTAGTGTCTCTACTTTAAAGAGTCCTCTCCTGCTGATGTTCAGGTGTATATCAGTATGTAGTGTCTCTACTTTAAAGAGTCCTCTCCTGATGATGTTCAGGTGTATATCAGTATGTAGTGTCTCTACTGTGACATGTCTCCATGCTTTAATGTTCAAAAAGCTCTTTTATCTTTTCACCCTCTGTCTGAAACCAGAGCCCAGTCTGCTCTGATTGGTTAGCTGGTCGGCTCTGTTGTGATTGGTCAACCCGCTAAGAGATGTCCCGCCCCTTTACCTATCTTATACAATGTGTTGGAGCGCTAGCCAATAGAAGCGGGAGTGTTACTCAGCGATGTCACAGAGGTAAACAAAGGCGTCCAGGGGGAGTGTGTGGGAGAGAAACTCTTTAGAACTTTGGGATTTAAGCCTTTGCAGACCATTTACATGCACACAAATCTTTTTAACAGACAACAGGAGAGGGAAAACCCAAAAAGCACAATAGGGCCTGTTTAATAAATAAAAAAGACAGACGAAAACAGACTAAGGCACAACATTATGGTTTGATCCATTGCTTTAAATTGCCACTGAAAACCACAAATGGGATCCTCAAGGTGACGCCAGATGAATAGTGAGGTGAACACCAAAGTCATTAGGAAACATCGATAGGACACAAGAACGCCTAAACAAAACGTTTGGTCAGTCCATCCGGAAACTGCTGCGTTAGTCCTGGGTGTAATGGAAAGTTCTGGAGCGAGGACTCAAAACACAATGAGAACACGGGAGAGCTCGACTTGATGACGGAAATATTTATTGAAAGTTACGGCCAGAGATTTGACAGAGACTTCTGCTGCAGCCACAAGTTGACATATCCTTACCAATTCTGGAGATCTCACCAAATCCCATGTAATTATCTAGTTCTCTATACAAAACTATTCTCAGGGGAAGAGATACAGTGGCAACCGAGGTCGCACGCCTGAACGCTGACTATAGGAGTAGAGTGATAAACTGGGTAAAAGGCAGAGGGCCTTGGTAAATATTTTCCTCAACAATGGGATAAGTAAAAACTTTGACCTAAACAAAGCATTCCATAAAAAGTCCACCTACTACATTTGTCCAAGGGTCAAAATGTATCCAATAGACACTTTTGCGGGCCAGCGATTTTTATATATAGCCCAGACTTTTGAAGATGCTAACAAAGGATCAGGGGCAGGGAAGGCTACGCAGTACGCAGGCTACTGTCCCGCAGCTGCTGCCTCTCTGTTGGACTCCGGTACTGCACATTACTCACGAGACGTTGTGAAAAAAAAATTAGTGAGGGGCGAACGCAGTAACCACTCCGCCAACGCCACAGTGCGTGCCGGATGAGAATGTCTGGCGTGCCATCGTCTGCCTTAAAGATGATGTCAATTTTTGCTAGAGTGCTGTCACTATCTGGGGACCTTGAATGTCTGTACACAATTGGCATGGCAATTCATCCCATATGTATTATGGCAGACACGCATTGCCATCCATTGATTGTTTGCACCTGCAATATCTGACTAGATGAATTTTCAATGACTACTTCTTACAATGTTTTATTTGATTGTTGCCTTCTGTGTTTAGTGTCCTGTCTGTCTGTAACTTTGTGTGGTAGTGTTACCACTGATCAGGTCTCTCTTGAGAATGAGACCATGTGTCTCAATAGATTTAAGAAACATTTACAGGCGATAATAACCCTTACCCTAATTACTAAATGGGACCAAGTAAAGTAATGAGGCCAACTGAACCAGCAGTGACAGAGTGCATGGTATTAAGAAAGGCATTTCAACTGTAGTTCTTCTCTCCATGTTGACAGCTCTATAGCCCAAGTCCCCTCAGTGCTACCAGTGCGTTGCCTGGACACCAGTGACCTCTGACCCCGGGCGGTGATGGTCCAATAAGAGCAGAGATGTGGGAACTGGAAAGCCCATTCACAAAGATCCAACTCTGAAAGAAAAGGAAGCTGAACCCATGTGGCCCTTTGGCAAGAGGGATTACACACACACACACACACACACACACACACACACACACACACACACACACACACACACACACACACACACACACACACACACACACACACACACACACACACACACACACACACACACACACACACACACACACACACACACACACACACACACACACACACACACACACACACACACACACACACACACACACACATCAGAAATTCAAACTGGCATCTGTGCAAATATTGCATCCTGCTGCAGTGAGGACAGAGAGGCGCTGCCTGCATCATAAAGCACAACGAGCTAATGGTTCCTCATCGCTATAACAACCCTCAGACAGCAGCTATCTACACAAGGTGTGTGTAGTGCGTGGTGTGTAAAGGGTTACACACTCTCTTTCTTCACACTCTTGCAACAGTTTTCCATTTCCCCCTCGTCTCCAGCTGAGCTCATGAAGTTCACAGACATGACGTTTTCTGCAAATATCCACCTTCGTTAATGAGCTCCCAGGACTATGTTTTTGAGATACCGCTCGACAAAGTTTGATAAACCCGGAGGCCGACTCAACACCATCTCGTTTACTGCTGCTGTTCTGTTTTAGTTCACTGCACATTTCATATTGGTGGGTTTTGGAGCTTTAATCCAAACAAAACAACATGTCCTTGTGCTTTGGGACATTCTCACAGAGATGTTTTTACTCTCTTCTGACACTATTTATATGAATGTATTATTCTTACAAAGGAAAAGCCAAATGATCAAATAGCCAATCAACATATGATATATGATATGATCTGATGCGCCGGTGAAGATGGCCGCATCGTCTTCGTGCTCCTCTCCAACTTTGCCCATTTTCGTATTTTGTACATATTTCTTTTACTTTTGCCGTTTTACTTTTAACATGGTTCGCAACATGCTAGCCGACCGCACCTACTCTGCCATACAATATAGCAGAGAGGAACTTTTCCAATTGCGAAACTTCGTGGACAATATTAACCCTCCGACAGACAATGGAGATTCACCATGGCTACCTGTTGCTGTTCTACCTGAGAGACGCAAGAAGAAGACAAAGCGAGGATGCCGGGCCGGGTTGCTGGTCAGACTAAGAAAACGTGAGAATCGGCCCCCTCTTCCGAGTATTCTTCTGGCTAATGTTCAATCCATTGAAAATAAGCTAGATGAACTCAGAAGCCGGATTGCTTTTCAACGGGACATTAAGAACTGTAACGTGTTAATTCTCACTGAGACTTGGCTCAACCCCGCTATCCCGGACTCCGCTATTGTCCCTGACGGATTCTCTATTTTTCGTCAGGACCGGACTGCAAACTCGGGGAAAAGTAAGGGAGGCGGTGTGTGTGTAATGACTAACAACAACTGGTGCTCAGATGTGAAGATTATTTCATCGGACTGTTCCGCACAGCTAGAGCACCTCATGATCTCATGTCGGGCCTTCCATCTGCCGAGGGAATTCACATCTGTTGTGATAACAGCAGTGTATATCCCGCCGCAGCCACTCGCCGACAACAACACGGCACTCGATCAGCTGTTTGGGTTTATTGATAAAACCGAGACTTCGCGGCCAGATGCGGCGTTCGTTGTGGCCGGAGATTTCAACACCGCCAACATGAAGAAGGTTTTGCCAAAATATTACCAACACATCAACTTCCCGACGCGCGGGGGAAACATACTGGACCATGTTTATTCCCCTTTCCGGAATGGATATAAGGCTCTCCCTCGCCCTCCCTTCGGCAAATCAGACCATATCTCACTACTGTTGTTGCCTGCTTACAAGCAGAAACTTAAAAGGGACAGACCGATAACAAGGACAGTACAACGATGGAGCGAGGAGTCAGATTCAGCACTGCAGGATTGCTTTGCATCCACGGATTGGAGTGTGTTTGAGGACAATAACATCAACACACACACGGACACTGTCATCTGCTACATTGGGAAATGCATCGATGTCGTGGTACCGAAGGTTTCTGTACGGACATTCCCAAATCAAAAGCCCTGGGTAAACGGTGAGGTGCGCGGCAAACTGAAAGCGCGCACTCTCGCGCACACAGCGGGAGATTTGGAGGAGTACAGGAAGTCTAGGTATGATCTCCGGAGAGCAATAAAAAATGCAAAGAGACAGTACAAAGAGAAGGTGGAATCTGACTTCAAAGGCTGTAACACTAGGAATATGTGGGCGGGACTAAGGACAATGACTGACTACAAAGGAGCAGCGGGGGGTGCTGCGGGAGTGTCTGCGTGCGCATCTCTCCCAGATGAGCTAAACAGTTTTTTTGCACGCTTTGAGAGCAGCCAGGCTGTGGAGGTACAGAGGGACCAG